ATGGTGTTAATGTTTCCAATTTCTTCTGTATGGTCAGAAATTTGAAAATATTAGTACCTCACCTTGTGTGTTAGGTAGTACTTTCTGTCTTTTTTCTTTGTACAATAACAGTCCACATAATCAATCAAAGATTGGTAACTGCTCTTGGCCTACGACTGCTTATGTGAAGCCTTCTTAGCTGAGAGGCAGTGCATTAAGTGTCAGATGTACTAACCTTAAATCTTAGATACCTTTGTTTGCTCAATGATGAGTGTTGTTGCTTCGAATCCTACTCTTGTTGTTGGTAATAGCGTTAAAAAAATGGCTCTTGTGCAATCTATACTAGACATGATGACATGTGGAGTTACCGCCAACAGTAGGTCTCTGATTCATCGTTGCTGGTCAATCTTTGTCTACTTGCGTGCATGCATGCATGATTTAATGATCGGCGTCAGTGCCCACTCAGTCCCCGTCAGTCACGCATACGGAGATGGAGATAGAAAGCGGCAATCAGGACATCAAAGACATAGATCCATGCTATCGATACACATACTACGAGGAGGTCCTCAGGAGGGGCTCCAGCAAGGTGGTGTGCCGAGCATTCGACATGGATTAAGGCTTTAAGGTGGCCTGGAATCAGGTCTCTCTATCGGTGCTGATCCCCACCCGATTTTAGTGCACCACCTTGAGTGCGAAATCGACTTGCTGGGGGCGTTGCAGCACCACAACATAATCAGCTGCAAAGTGAGCTGGGCTGACGAGGACATGAATGTAAGCTTCATCATGAAGCTGATCAATCCTGGAACCCTAGCAGACCACTACAAGCTAGTATGGGAAGTATGTGGCATTGAACACGGTGAAGTGTTGGGTGAGGCAGATCTTGTGAGGGCGGAAGTATCTGCACACCCGGAAGTTGCCCATTATCCACTGAGACATCAAATGTGACAACATCTTCATAGATGGAGGCAATGGCGAGGTAAAAATCGGTATACATAGAACGCTGATATACGTGGCGCCAGAGATTCTGGAGGGGGACTACAACCAGCTGGTGGACTGGTACGAATTGGTCATGAGCGTGCTGGAGATGATAATTGGGGAGTGTATCCTTACAAGGAGTACAAGACCACGAGCGAGATGTTCTTGAAAATTGGGGCTGGAAAGTATCCAAACTTGCTGCAGAAGATCAGCGATCCGTGGGCGCAAGCATTTACAGAGAGATGCTTGGCTCCTGCGTGTAAGAAGCCATGCGTGTGTGCGGGAGTTGAGGTAGGGTCCATTCGTAGCCTCGACTTGAAGAGCTTTGATTCCGGGTTCCTCTTTGGCATCCAGCACTTCTGGTAACTTCGGCGGCGCGCAATTCTAATTCTAGTTCTAATTCACGTTGAGGAGCTGTAACTTTGCTCCTAGTTTGTTGTACAACATTGTCATTTGAGCACATTATTAAGGAAAATGCGTTCTTCTTTTTTCATCGTCTCATACTGAATCTACGTATATATGTGTATATATATATATATATATATATATATATATATAAATATGAATATATATATATATATATATATATATATATTTGAAAGTTTTGAGGACATGTGCCCAAGCCATTGTATATTTATTAGAATCTTATGTAATAAAAATATTCAATTATAACAAAGTAAAAAGACTATGCAATCCAACAAACTCTGAATAAAAACTATACACTTCATAAAAACAAAAAATAAATAGTTGTTCAAAATTCTATGACATAAACTCAAATATAAAATGAAAAAATCGTTTGAGGTAAGTTAAATATTTTAAATTAAAGAAATTTTATTTTTTATTAAACATATATGTTTAATCATTAAGATGATAATAGTAATAATAAGATATTATCAAACATGAATCATAAGTTTTAAGAACCAAGAATCATAAGTAAGTTTTAAGAACCAAGAATCAATCGCTTCAAAAGACTCCTTAAGAGAGTATGTTAATTTTCAAAATTATACACCAAAGTGACAATTTGATGTTTGGATTAATTACTAACTACTAGAAAATGGTAAGTTGTACATTAACTGATCAAAATACACCAAAGAAGTTGGCAGTTCAAGTCCTAGTTGTAAATTATAAGCATGCAAAATTTAAAATAAAATAATCTAAAATGACAATTTGAAAAATAGTTAAGAGTTTACTAAATTCCAAATTGTTTTAAAATGTATTGAATGATCACTATTTAAATCACATCAAGTTCAGATTTTAAGAACAAATTTTTAGTAGAAATTAAACTTATCGATAATCTAAAATTAATTATTGCATGTTTTGAAATCAGATTATGTTTTATACTCATGTTTGAACAAATTATTTTATATATTTTTTAATAAATTAAAAATATTGCTATCTATATACAAGACAATTTAATGTTAACAAATAGTTTTACAGTTTATTACATTAAGTTTTGAACAATAGTTTTGCTAATATATATATATATATATATATACATACACATACATACAGATATATATATATGTGTGTGTGTGTGAACTTGTGTATATATAAGTATATGTATGTACGTATATATAATGTGTATACATATTTTAAAAGCTATGTAATAAATTCTTATTAAATTAAAAAATATATAAAGTTTATTAAAATAATAAATAGAAATTTGAACATTAAACTATAACAATTATTTATATATCTTAAAAAAGTAAAATTTCGTGTACCTAAATCACATATTTGCTAGTCTGTAAAATTTAGCACGATAAACTTCAATGTGTAAATTCAATTATGTCTTGCTCTAAATTCTACACCCTATTAGAGAACTTTATATTCTTTGATTTTAAATAAAATACATTTTCAATCTACAAAAAAAGAACCAACTAAAAGTGAAAGTTGTAATAGTACACCATATGATGAATAGATTAAGACAAATAATATCATGTTCTGTTCAAATCCATTGAAGTTCTAAAAATTTGTATATTCTCATTTATACTTATATTTATATTTATATTTAATTAAAATAAATATATATAGAAATTGTAATAATATTTTGATATCAAAACTATTTAAATGATAAAATTATTAAAAGCACAATTAAAAAAAAGTTAGAAAAGGTCATGTAAAATTTTGGCATGAATTTTGGATATCTTACAATATTGATATTGTATATGTTGCTTATTTTATTTATTAAATTATTAAAATTTTCATTTAATATTATCATTTGTTAATCTGTAATGTAATAAATAAGGGAATCATTAAAGAGAGTCATCCTGATATAAAAATGTAGAAAATTTTAGTAAACTATTTATCAACTTTTGAATTCATTTCTTACAAAGTGCTTTACAATGCACTAGAAATAACAAAGACAATCTAATGTCATGAATTAGTAATAATAGATGTGCAACAATGTGCTAATTTAATCAAATCAAAAAGTAACAAGCAACAAAACTTATACATGACCACTAAAAACACTGATTTGTTTGTAATCCTGTAATTTACATGAATAATGATATTGAAATGCTGGTAAACACTTAAGTTTTTGTTTTTCTGTAAACCAACAATATCCAAGACCATACATTAATTTCATTTCAACTATTTAGTTTTGATTCTTACTTTTAAAACAAATCTAGATATGTCTATGGTAGACTTATTTTAGAATTATAATTTAAATTTAAAAATTATTTGTAAATTTTAGATTTATGATACTTTTAAATTAATAAAATAATATTTAATAAAATCTACTACAATTTTATCTAACACATTGCAAATAGTTTTTGATAATATTCTTAAAACTATATGGTGATAATCAACATTTACAAATTTTAATAAAAAAAAATTGTGTTCAATTGTTATAATATATATATATATATATATATATATATATTTGTAGATATAACTTGAATACTAGTACAAGTTTTTTTGTATGACATGTAACAAAATAAATTAAATATCTATATTAATAATCAAATTCATTGAAATACAAGTTAAATATTTTGTATTAAAAAATAAGCATAATCTATATTTTAAGCTTCAATCAATAAATAAAAAATTTAAAACATGTTAACTTTTTATCTTACAAAAATATTATTAATCATGTTAATCTATGACATAAAACCTTTAAATATTTAAGTTTAATCCATACTATTAAAATACTATATTAACACAAAGTATAAACTTGAATTGCATTACACATATGTTTTTTAAATCTTTCGTTTTTATGATCTTATATATTTTTAAATCTATTCCAAAAAGTATAGTTTACAAGCTAACAATAACATTATATTTTTCATATAAACAATATAAAATTAATAAAAATTATTAAAAAAAAGAAATATATTTTAAGATGAAGAAATATCATCTTTGTATATACGATTTATTTGTGTATTATATAAAATTAAAACATTTTTGTAATTTTATCTTGAAATTTATATTCATAAATTTTAAAAAATAAAAACAGCATACGTTAAATAAATTAGAATGATTACTATACAAAATATCTGTAACACCCAAAATGAAAAGTTCAAACATAATAGTCACATATTTAAACAAACTTACATGAACACAATTCCCATCGTTGTGTATTCAAACCAAAAAGTCACTTCCAACTACAAGTCATCAACTTCCAACTACAAGTCATCAAGTTTCAGCTTAAAATAACAAAACCACAATATCCAAAAAAAAAAACAAACAAAAAAAATCATGAAAAAAAACACACAACCCAAAACAAACAAACAAACAAAAAAAAAAAAAAAAAAAAAAAAGCAAATCAAAACTTTTAAAAAGATATCGATCATCTACAGAATCTAATGGAATATTCAAGTTGCCAACGTAGCATGCGATTCGATTCGTCACGTCGGAAATCGCTGGGAAGGTCGGTGCTCATGCAGCCCGGCGTGGGCCCAAAGGGAACACAGTACCGACTGCTCCGGATTGGAAAATGACCGTTGAGAAGGGAGGTCGCAAATAAACGGTAGGAAGGTCGCAATCAATGCCGCAGGAACGGAGGGAGAGGAGGGAGATCGAGGCGCGTTTGAATAATCCGCCGAAGCCGTTCCGCGTAATGCTGCATTTTCTTCGCCATCTCTTGCCCATTTGTCGTCTACATTTTACTCACGGTCCCCTTACATTTTCGTAGTGTTTCATTTCGCCATTGCAGAGCCTCACAGAGTCGGAACCTTCGTCCCTGGGCACGACGAGGGAGTGCGGGTTGCTCGGTCTTTGGAAATTTTCGTTTGTGGATCTGCAGCGTTGCAGTTGAGGAGCGAGGTGGACTGGACTGCGAGTCGATGCTGGGAAGCTCTTGCGCTGTGGGTTTATTTTTCTGAGGTAATTCTCACTTCCCTTATCTTCGCGAGGTTTTGTGGGTTTCGTCAAACCACAGGGCTGTGTGGTGGGGTAGTCGTTTCGTTCAGTGCGTTTCGCTTCCAGGTGTTGTTCACCTTTGTCGGTGACATTCCTTGCAATTCTTGATAGCGCTGTCAATATCTGCCTTTGCGAACTTCGCTTGCTGCCCCCGTGAGTGCAATGTCGAGAGTCGTGCTCTTTGAAGCCAGGTTTACGATTTCACTGTGTTACTGTGTATAGCCGCCTGGACACATCTCGATCATTGTCGCACTCGCGTGGTTGCTTCAAGTAGTCACCACCTTTTATATTCATCATCATGAATTTTGTTCAGATGTTTACTGGGATATAGTCACGTGGACACTGTAAGTTGTCCGGCTTGTGGTAAATATTGCTCACCATGGTAGCAGCACCTCATTCGTAGCGACAGATTCCTGAGGTCGCACACAGGTAGGTTGGGAAGCTGCGATTGCTGAGGCTCATACTTTTGAAGGAATATGAACGCCGGTTTTTTCTCCGTTGCCTTCTAGTCTCTTGGTATCCCTACAACACCCCTGGGAGTATGGGCGCAAACGGTTGCTGTGGACTAACCTTAAGAAATCACGCGGTACCAGCTCCTCCTCGATGAACAGTTGAATCCGCACGCGGAATGTTGTAGCTCCAACCTCAGTCTGTACAGACGTGTCCTCATACTAATTGAATCCGAACTTTTGTCACTGTAGGTACGTTGCATGCGGCAAAGATGGGTATTACTGTGGCTGTGAAAGTGGATCACTTCCCGATCGTGAGCTCCTTAGTTACTGCCTCAACGACGGATAAATCACGCACCGTACTTGTGCCCAACTTGGATTTTCATGGGACTGTAAGGGACACATTGGTCACATTTCTTCAGAAAAATCTCTTCATCTCGGAGGAGTGCCAGCTACTTTCAGCTCCTCTGTTCACCCGATTGAGTGATAAAGACAACGTTGAAGACATCTACAAGAGATATTCCTGCCAGGTGCGGTCGAATGTTCTCTGTCCCCTAGTCTCTTTTACTTACTAATCAATCACATCCTCACATTCCGAGGAAATTCGCACTTCGGGTTCTCCACATTCTCCAAGCTTACTGCTGTTTCCCATTGTTGTAACTACAGGCTGACCAGGAAATTTCCGAGATTCACCTAGATGAGGATACATTCATGATGTATGGTCGCGAAGGTGGACGATTTGTAGATCTTGTTGGTGAAAAACGGGTCGAAGACTATCACATTCTTGACAGGAGCACCCTTCATCTCAGAGTGCGTAATTGCAACCCCATCCTCGTGAGAATACATTTGCTTTGCAACTGCACCTACTGATCCACACCTTATTTATGGTTACAGAGGCTTCCTCGTCCACTGTCTGAAGACGGCGGACGAGTATTCGTCGAGTGTAAAGACGGTATCATACCGTTGCTGGGGGTAACACCTCTTACTCCTATTTCCGGCATCAAGCATCATCTGGAAGGATTGACTGGCGTACCCATCTCTCAGCAGCTACTATCATCCGTGGGACGCGTCATGCATGATGAATTTCTCGTAAGAGACTTTGACGTGCTGCACAAGGTGTACGAGGATTCCGTGATTGATCTCTGTAAATCAGGTATGCGAGAAGCCTTAGGTCTTAAAGAAGGGCATGGATCTTAGCATGCTGAGATGTGACAACTCTCACTCATTCTCTGACGAGCTTATTGCTAATTGTCGACGCAGAGGATAAAAACGCCGAGCAAGTGCACAAACGCATGGTGGTACACGTCAACGTTGTCGGTGAGGAAGAATTTTCCATCGTCGTTCAAGGACGGGACACTGTGCTGTCCGTTCTCAGATGTGTGGAGTCTCGCATCGGCATTGCACCGTCGCAGTTGAAGATCAGTTACTCAGGTGTGTTGCTCACCTCAAGGTGTATGAGGCGTCCAAAGCTGATTTTTAGTCCACATCCCCTTGGATAAGTACTCTTGCGTTCGGTGTTTGAAGTATGGATGATGACCATCGCAGGGAAACTTCTCCAGGAAAAGAAAACGCTCGGAAGCTATCTTATTCAACCAGATAGTGTGTTGACTGTCACCTTGTCAAAGTGTCTAACCGAGAATTCCAGAAAGCCGACAGTGGAGGATATAGGAGGTAACATACACACACCTAAGCGCTTAAAGTATACGTTGTTTTTAGATTTCAATACTATAATATCCGGAGTAACTGTAAAGATGCGTGCCTCTTTTCACAAGTGTGCATTGCCGAAGTGTGAATCCATCGTCCTGCGTCTCCTGCAGCCCTCCCCAAGGAATTTCCGGGGCAGAAACCAAATGCTACAAAGTTAAAACTGATGCGGACAAGCAGAGGACACGTCAAGGGTACTCTGACTATCCCAGTGATTTCCTCTGACACAGTTGCTGACCTAAAAAGGAAGCTCAAGCGAACTCTTGCGCCTTTGGTGGAACGAGATCCTTCTCCTGCTCCTACCGAGAAGCAACAGCCATTCGGAGATACCATGGTGAGAACACCAGGGAAAAGTCCGATGAGAACTCCACCCTCCAGTCACTATGAACGCTATGGCCATGGGTCCAATCTTAGGGGTACCCCCGAAGGTCGCAGACCTACTTCAGAAACTAAGCCAGCGGGTGTTAGGTCCCTGTCGTTCTCTAAGATGCTAGATCCTAAACCTAATCCTCATACCCCTCAGCAATCCCCTATGAAGTCTCCTCTTTCAGCAAGCGGTCCCAGAAGCGGTCCTTTGCCACCCAAGATACCTCTTGAAGATCACTCAGTGAGTACCACTGCACCTTCCTCGGCGAAGAAGATTACATTCAGCAAAGACGACGATGAAGATATTCCGTCGGCGAAGCTAACTGCCAACGACCTTGTAAGTAAACTACTCCATGGTCGAAGCCCAGATCGGATTCCGTTGTTTCTCTGCAGTGCTTTGTTAATTGTGTGGGGAATGTCACCAACAATAACATTTTGCGATATTGTATTAGCTTCAGTGGAGAGTGGAAAGCCCTTTTTTCGTAAAGCTGATGTTGGGATTGTCTTGACTATGCAGCACGGGTCTTCCTGTCGAGATTTGATGCCCGAGCTCCTGAGTCTACCTGACCTGGACCCGAAAGATCAGTCACCCATCAAAGTGGTCGTAGAGAAGAAGCCCACATGGCAGTCCCGATACGCCGATGAGAATGCCCCTAACTCTGGAGGCAGGTTTGGAAACGTCCAGAGCAAAATCGACAACAAGCTGGGTGCGATTAAGAACATCGACAAAAAGGCAGTCAAGAACTGGTTCAACACCAACATGGAGTCATTTAAAGTGCATATGAAAAATCTTGCTGATGGTTAACAGTTCCGACCCATTGCATTTACCTACCCTTAGATTACTTTCTCTCTTCCGGAGCTGGTAAGCTTCATATTGTGAGTGTCATCTGCACTTCGCAAGCGTTTGCAGACGATGCACACAGTTGCTCACCAGCTCATCTCAGTATATCCAAGGACAAGTATCAACCTCACGTTGGAGCTTCTCATTCAAGCCACATTAATAGATACTTCTCGTATCAGTGGTACGCAAGTCTGGATAATAATCACAATTCCCAGTAATGATAGGATGCATGCTAACTTCAATGACATTGAAGTTGTGTCAAAATTACATCGCCATATTTAAATTCTATGTAAATTACATTTTTTTGAGTTGAGATTTTTTGAAATGTCCATTATCTTCTGTGCAAACTATACCGTTCCTTTCACTTAAAACATGTGTAAATTCATCCTGTGACATTTATCTTTGACACTCTGCAACTTAACGACGTAACTCTTTCTTTATTGCAACCATCACTTGCGAAAGAAAAAGTCGAACAAACGAATGTTCCGAACAAAAGAAGAAAACAGCCAACTATATTAAATATGTAGCATTCACAATAAATCTCACACTAACACCATCTTGTACAATATTAAAATACTAGCTCAATACATTCACCTTCCCGCTTACATGGGAAAAATCCCATTCAGTGACATGTCGCATAATCAATGCGTGGAAGGGCATTTTTTCGTCTGAACAGATTAGTAACACACCATTATTCACGATGAGCGCCACACCATTGATTCTTTATTGATCGTATACGTGAGCAGTGGAGAATGGAGAATCAAATTTGGGGTATTATAGCATGGTGAGAACTTCATATCCCATCACAACCAGAATCGGCATCAAAAGGAGGCCTCAAGAACTTATAAATATAAGAATAATTGTTCGAAGCCCGCATACCATATCTAGCCTAGCCCGAAACTTTCCTAGCCTTTACAGAGTTTGCACCATCATGCAGAACAGTTCTTTCAGTAACTAACACTAGATAACACAATTACCATCAGTATCCAGTGAACGCAATGCTAGTCCTAAAATGCAACACCAAACAGTGACTTCCATTAATATTAGTAGGATGACACAGGCGATGCACCAGTTGCCCGCACAGGTATATTCCGCAACTGTTCATACCTGTTTTGACCATGACCATTGTGATAAGGGCGACCTCCTCCATGGCCATTCATGCCTGTGGATCGATAGTTCGCAGATATCTGAACACTTGAGCTACTTGCCATATCTCTCATATCTTGCAGTGGTTTCAACGTATCGACCACGTCACCCATTAGAGGTCGCAACTTTGGCTCACGACTCAGGCAATGGTGAGAAAGTATAGCTGCTTTCTGTGCACCTTTTACTGAGAATTGACCTTCCAAGCGTGGATCAATGAGCTTATACAACTTGCGTTTGTCGTTCAAGTAAGGCCGCGCCCATTCAACCAAATTTTGCTCACCACTTGGTCTATTTTTATCCACCGACCTTCGCCCTGTCAACATCTCTAGCAACACCACGCCAAAGCTGTACACGTCGCTTCTAGATGTTAAATGCCCTGCAAAGAAAACATTGTTTCGAAATAAGAGCTTCTGAGGTCATCAGAATCAACTGATTAACTCCAACAATTGACCTCTAGAACTCTCAAATTGAAGATATCAAAACCCATTTAACGGCGAAGATAGCCGTTCTACGACATAGAAAAGCGTTCTACAAAGACCTTATCCATCATGAAACACAAACCATAGTATGTCAGACTTAACGGCAAACCTACCACACAATCATTTGAATTTATGATCATACGTAAAAAAGAAAAGTGATCTGGAAAAGACGTCATAGCATTTTCAGAGTAGACATGATAGAGTGGGGGAGAGTTCACACCAGTCATCACATACTCAGGGGCAGCATAGCCATAGGTGCCCATAACACGTGTTGAAACGTGAGTTTTGTCTCCTTCAGGTCCATCTTTCGCTAGCCCGAAATCAGACAGCTTGGCTGTGTAATCCTGACAACCATAAACAAGTCTGAGGACAGAGGACAAACTAAGAGGTATAATGCAACAATAACGCTTTATAATAACGTTACTTCCACGCAACTCGTTACTGAGTCGACGAGAAGTTTTTATGTCATTATTTTGGAAGAAAAGGGGAGAGAGAGGCGGGGGAGAGCAAATAAAGCGAGGGGGGAAAATCCACATTAGCCTGGGCAGAACTAGAGTAATCTCATGCCTGCAAACCCAATTCACAAGCAATCTGATATTTGCAACCTAGAAATAATTTGCTAAGCTAAGTTTCAATTTTAAAAGGGTTTGTCGCTCACACTATCCAATAATATATTGGAAGTCTTGAAATCACGATAAATGACTGGTTTCACTGCTTCATGGAGGAACGCCAATCCACTTGCAGCTCCTAAAGCTATCTTGATTCTCGTCAACCAAGGTAATGGCATCGTCCCCTCTGCAAAAGTCCAGATCAAGTTAGATCTAGATAATTTTGTCCATTTCTTATTTGCACAAACCCAAGATTATCCACTTCTTTGTCATAATTTCAGATGGTCGATATCTCTGTGACTGTGACCCGGGTAGTACAGATGTTACTCTGTCCTTGACGAGGACACTGACAAGATCGCCAAACACCTGGAGGAGGCATCAAAAAAAGAAACAAATTTACTCCATAAGTAGAGCACACCACAACCCCTTAGAGACTGCATCATTGCAAGTGCCTCAAAGATACACACCCGACATTAAACAGAATTTAGTTTGTATTGAAGACATGCTACGATTACTAGGTGAAAACGGAAGTTATCAACCAAATCTTCGAACGTTCAATTACAAACGATCTCAACATCGAAGACAATGCGAACTGCCCACCATGTCAAAACTACGCGACTCTAAATACAGGAAACGAAATCAGATCCACGTCACTGAAAGCTACCCGAAGGATTGGGACGTATACGGGGCCAAACATTAACGAAGAATCATGACACCGAAAATTTTCATTGTGTAAGAATAAATCTGAAGAACTGATAACACTTAAAGAAGTCGACATATGTAAAAGCAACCTTTAAATCTCGCAATAAGAACACGCAAGAGAGGGCAAAAGCAGAAATGCAACATTTCGGAACTGTAACTTAGCAAATCAATTTGCAAATGACTTTCACAGCATCATTACAATAGAGTTAGTAATCTTGCTCCAAAGAAGGTAAGAATTATCTGCATAGGTCATTCAAATTTGCTTTCTTCCAAAATTAGTAAAGAAACAACCAGATATAATTTTCGAATTCACTTCTCACACAAAAAAGATATATACAGCCGTCAAAAATAAACAAATAAATAAAAACTGTATCCCCTCACTTCCTCCATCGTGGGAACTAAAGTAAACAGAAAAAAATGAAAAAATATTCCGATGTCGTACACAATGGCTTGGGAAGTAGCAGGGTTCCCAGAAATGGCAAAAAAAGAAAAAAGAAAGAGAAAAAGAAGACCTCGTGGAAAAGACCCAGAAGTGAAAGGAACAGAGAAACAAGACATGGATCCTACGCCATAATTTAGGGTAAAAGAAGGAAATTGTTGCACTATTGCTAGCCAGTTAGGTGCCACATTTTCCGAGACAAAATCTTTCAGCTGCAACTGAACTTCTACGACCTTTTAGTGAACACCTAGTATGCGAGTAAAATTTGTGATAACTCACTTCGAAACAAATGATTCTCCAAACTTCCTCTGGGCATGAATTCGTAAACCAGCAGGCGTTGATCATCCTCGGAGCAATATCCAATGAGCTTCACGAGATTCGGATGGTGAAGCTGACCAAGAAAATTAACTTCAGCCTGCATTACGATAACGACGTCTATGTAAGTGCCGGTCTGTTTGAACTAAGAGCTGAATCACTAAAGTAGGAAATATTTAAAGATTCCCTACCTTCTACTTCTCCTTCTCTATCCCTGTTTCCTTCCACCGACCAGAAAATCCACGAACACCATGGATCCCAGAAACAGGACAACTACACACAAAAAAAGTCTCGAAACTTTTCCGCCCTCTTACCAATGAGGGTGAGTTTCCCCGCAAAACCGGTAGTGCTTCCTCACAGTTATTGACATTTTCATGGGAGAGGGGAGGTGATCAAATAAAAATGCGGTGTTCGAGTTCAAGCATGCATGCCTGATCAGCTGTTTCTGATTTTCAGAAAACTAACGCACAAATCATCATTCATGTGTATGTGTGTATATATTGATTTAAAAATATAAAGACAAATAAAAAATAAAAAAGAACTCACAAGCCACTCTCTGTGACCTTGTAGACCCTCTTGATTTAATTGCTTGACTGCAACAGTCAACCCTGTACCCGCTTTAGCAGCTGTTGTTCCATGTTCATCAATCCACCCTTTGTATACACTACCAAAACCTCCTTCTCCTAACAAACTGTCGGGACGAAAGTTCCTTGTCGCAGATTTTAGGTCCAGATAACTGAAGATGCGAAGGTTCCCTCCCTGAAGTATCTCGTCTGATGATTTTGGCTCACGAATCGGAACAAACACCTGCTCACTGGGGGCTTTTTCATGAAGCGGATCCTTCTTATTATCTACCCACACCACAAGAAAGAAAAAGGGAAATCGGTACCAGGGTTAGAGTTAGTGTGAATCCATCAATTGAAACGGGAATACTTAGAAGATAGCAGACAACCTCTGTCGGCACCGCCAAAATGGCTCCAAGTGGCAAACCTAAATTAGGAAGCTCGAAAAAGGCGACCACGAGAACCAAATACAGACACATAACACTTCACCGAGTCGAAAAGACGAGGCACGCCATTAACACGGCGCGACTGGACAAAGAAAAAGAAAAAAAGAAAGAAAGAAAACAGGGAAACCAAAATCAAAACCAAAAACCAAAAACGCACGAAAACGAAGAAAAAAATATATATATATGTCAGCAAATAAAACCAAAATATTTACTAAAATCAGAAGCTCCACTGAAAAGGTTTTCAAACCTGAGTGGTGAACACTGCTAGTTGCCGCAGGAGTACCACCTGCCTTAGACCACCAACAGTTACCGAGCCACGCCCCATCGAGGGCGTTCCAGCAAGTGCACATGATGCCCCCTCAACGTCCTACCTTACAAAACGAGGCAGTTGCGTCCTGCCCCCTAGCTTACATCCATTCACACACTCTTTAGAAAGATTCTAGTAAACCAAACGACGCTCCGTTACGAGCCACCATGCCGTGGAGAAGAAACAAGACTCCGACAGGCAGAGCCGAAAACGGAAAGCAGCTGAGGCCCACGACCAACTAAAAGAAGCAAAATCTGCTCCCCTGGTCGTAAAGACTGCCAGGCAAGGAGAGGAAAGAGAAGGGGAGCGATGGAAGGAAGGAGAGTGATAGAAGAAGGCAGAGGAAAACCATGCGAGCGAGGGAGGGAGGGAGGGAGCGAGGAAGCAGGGGAGCGAGCGAGCGAGGGTGGCGACGAAGAAGGAAGAGGAGGGGAAGGAGGAGGAGAACGAGGAGGACTGGGTTTGACTGGGCTAGGCCATGCCCGAGTAACGACGACGACGCGCACATCAAACGAAAATCAGAGACCAGACGGGCGAGCAGAGTTCGTTGCTCCCCAGTCGCGCCTCTCTGACGACGACGACAACGACGACGACTGCAATTGAGGCCTCGCGGGGGGTGGAATTGCCAGTGGTCGCCCGCGTCGATCTCTACCGCTCTAGCCCCTGCTGCCCCATTCGCGACAGTAGTCGATTCCTCCCCCTCCTCCTCATCGTCCTCGTGGTGGTACTAATACTAGTGGTAGTGCTGCTGCTGCTGGTCGTCCTCGTCGTCGTCTCACCCGGCCCTCCAAAGTTCAGGGTCGCTCTCCCTCTCTCTCGCTTTGTCTCTCTTTAATACCGCGTGCTAATGGATCATGTCCGCACGCTATTGAACGCGTGCACGGAAATATGAGCGCGACGAGAGAGGAGGAAAGGCAGCCCAGCCCGGTGGAGATCGATGGTGCGGCGATGATCTCTCTAGCTCTCTCTCTAACTCGCTCTCCACTCTTGCCCCTCCCTCCCTTTCCCTCCCTCCCTCGCCAGCCCTCACATTCTTTGGCTTTTGCATCGTTTTGGATTCATAGGATGCTTGGTTTTTCCCCTTTTCAAAGAGCTGCTTTTGATAAAGACTCTTGGGACTTTTGTTTTGAATAACAGTGAAAATTGGTGTGTTTTGTGAAGTCTCGTCACTTTGAATGGTGCACTTCTGCAATTGAAACTAATGAGTTGACTAAACGAAGAAAATATAAATAATCGTATGGATAAGGATAAATTTATCAAACAAATGTACAAATATATATATATATATATATATATAGCCTTCATTCCTTGTTATTTTAATGTATTGATTGTGAGATTATGTTGTTTCTCTTTATTTGTAAAAAGCGAAAAATGTTAAAAAAAATATTGACATGGTTTATCCAAAAAAAATAAACAAAAAAATATACATACATTTGTACTAGTTTATTGGTGTATTGTATTATGTATAGTAAAGACATATTTGCAGTCGTTATCAACAAAAAGTTTTGTTATCATCATCATCACTTACTATTGATGTATATATATATAGGATTCAATGATATTTTGTACAATACGTCTTTGAAAAAAATAAAATAATAATAATAAATAAATAAACATCTGTGTATTTATTGAATTAATACAACAAACATCATGATAGTTTTTACATGCAAATGACACAATCTATAAAATGTATTTTATATAGTATATTAGTTAAATAATATAAAATGTATTTTATAAAGTATATTAGTTAAATAATATTTTTAAAAATTATTAATTAAATTATATATATTTGACATAAGTATAACATTATGTGTAGCAATTCCAATCTTTATAAGACAAAGAGACAAATAAGCCTTCTCATTAGTCAAATATAAAACATGGATGGATGACAATGTGAGAGATTGCAGTTTTTATGTGTGTGTGTATATATATATATATATATATATCCAATAATATCATGGACACAAAATTCTTCGTCAAACATGTATATGTTTGACACCAAAAACGAAATTATGGGATAATGGCACATCTACTACACCAAAAATTAACTGTTATTTACTTGCTTGAATTGCACTTTATGAACTATCCGGATTTAAAATTTCTAATCTCAATCACAAATATTAATATTTCTCTTAGTCTCATGACAAATATAGGCCAATCAAACCTCACGCTTTTACTTATTTTCAATCTACTGTAATATGTTAAAACTGAGCTCTCCTCAACGTCACTGTACTGGAATCACTGTAAATACCGCATAATGCACCAAAAAAATAAAATAAAATAAAATACATAGATAAAATTTAGTTCGTTCTTGATTTATTGTGGTCCACGCATAAGTGCACGAGCAAGGAAGAAGGTGGGAAAAGGTACCGATCACCGTGTCCACATCGGGGCCAGCTGCCAGGTATGACTGACCGACTTCTGGGCGAGCTCCTCGAGGGCCTTAATCCGTGAAAACGCAATCATGATGAGTAGGTGAGTCAGCAGGTCCGGGAGACCGTGCTGCGCGGGAGCCACACCCCGCGATGTCGTCTTCGTCGTCAGTTCAGTTTAGTACCTTTTTACTTTATTTCTCGTTGCTTGCTTTTGTTGCTGATGTTGTTATTGTTGTCGTCGTTGTTGTTGTTTTCGTTGTCCTCAACTGGCGTCGTCACTCAGGCGATGGAAGTAGTACCTCTTCGCCATAGAAGCCCCGCTTGGAGGCGTCGCACTGCAAGCGTCTCGCTCTTCATCGCCGTCTTCGCGCTGATCTATTCGCTCCACTCGCTCAATTTTTGCTATGTAGATTTTTGAGAAACTTACCTTTCTTGTTCTGGAAGCTTTCTGCAATTTTGAATTAGGGCCTTGGATTTTGGTTTGGTCGAGTTTCATGCTTGTGTGTGTGTGTGTGTTTTTTTTTTTTTTTTTTTTTTTTTTTTTTGGGAAATTTACTAAGTGTATCCATTGATTAGCTACCTTTGTATTGGAACGTGATGCATTACAAGAACCATTACAAGAACCCTTCGCAGAGTCGAAGCTTACATCCTTTCGTCGTCGATCGTTTACAATTGGTGCAGGAAATTTTATTTTGCGCGTTGTTGTCAATTCTAGGGCTACAAGCGAGAATTTGATTTCGAGTTGTATGGATCTTTGTTTCTCTAGCCTTTTGTTCACGGTACTTTCAATTCATTGTACAGACAGATTTTACCGTGGCTAGGTCTTGCTGGTGTCCTCCTCTAGCTACTTCTGATTTTATTTCCTTGTGTAATTCGGAAGAGCCCTAATGAGTTTATTACTTGGACGAAGAAATAGAGATGTCGGAAAATCACTTCTTGCATTCGATTTTACGTTGGGACACTATTTCTTTTCACTTCTTACTATGCGGATTGAATGCAGAATTGTGTTTTACAGCCGGTGAGTGACCAGCCGCTTGAAATATTCAAAGACGACGATGAGAAGTACGAATACAGAGCGACGTCATTTTCTGCAGGTTTGTGTCTAATTCCATCACTTACACCTCCATGACTTCCTAATGACGGTTTAGCTTTTAGTGTGGTAAATTAAGATGTAAATAATGCGGGTGTATGTTTTCTGACGCGTACCGCTCTTCGGAATAGGATCTGTGACAATTTTCGAGGCAGTTCATGTTGTTGGTTTTGAATTTTTACCTTACTCGCCATGCAGGTTTTCTTTCACCGTCAACCTTACATACAGTCACAATTGAAAGCACAGAGAATGATGCCAATTGCTGGGCGACATGCAGCCTATCCCTGCATGCATGCAGTGAACCTGGCCGCAGGGAGTGTATGCTTTTGTCAAAAATGCCTGCAAAACCTTCACTGGCTTTTGAAGATCTCAGAGAGGGAAATTACACATTTGCAGTAAATTGTGAAGAAACAGGGACATCATGCTATGCAGGCAAGTGTGTTCAGAGGGAGAGCTCTCCCTATCCCCTCCCCCCTCTCTATTTCTCTCTTCATAACGTTTTATAACCATTGTATGCTATCTGTTTCGGAAGGAACTTTTCCCTCTTTAAAGTAATTGTTATTATGTGCCTCCATCGGTAGCAAATGACAGCTCTTCCAACCTATACATCATAGAATTTCAGTACCTTGCATGTACTTGATACGGAACTAAATAGCATTGATTTCCTACAAATGAAACACTCTAGACAGCGATTTTTTGGTCTATCTTGAATAACATTAGCTTTTGTTTACAGAGCCTCAAGAGTGGACTTTTCAAGTCGACCCACGAACCCTTGAAAGTGTAGTTTCGTTGAGAGAGATACCACTGACGAATTTCAAGCTTTTAAGAAGACACACAGGTCAATGTTCCAATCATCAGGTTTGGAGATCAAGATTCACATGTTTGGGAACACTGTACACACTCGTGGGTGTGGTACTCCTGTTAATCTCTCGCAGAGAGAGGTTAGATGAAGAACTAATGTCTGCGCGCATGTTGCAAGATATCAAATGGATGTTGCGAACTAGGGGCAAGTCGTGATCTGGTTTCCATGCCCATTTTCTCTTACGATCGTACTGAAGCAAGCGAATATCAGAGATTTGCTGGGGACTATTTTCAGCTACACCTTAAAGAATTTTACCCTTAAACTCTGGTTGTTATTAAAGACTACAGTGTATTGGAAGACTCGGATCGTACCTGAAGTTCTACATGCCTCTATTTCATGGGAGAACAGTAAATATACAAGTTGATTCCCGACTGATGCAGTGACTATTTTTTCACTTCAACTGGCGATTATCATCATTGGGGGTTATGTGATTTTTAAAATTGAACAATCTTAGAAACATTTCAGTACCATCAAACTGAAGGTTGTACAAATCGCTGGCTTACAAAACATTAGATAGCATGTAGCTAATTGAAATGGCTACCATGTAATGTTCGCATGTAATGAAAAAAAAAAAACAAAACAAAACAAAACAAAATAAAACGGAAGAAAAGTATTAAATGGTTTTGATGCATGCGGATAAAGTCGAATTTTGAAATTTTGATTTTTTTTTGACATGTTGGCTTAGGATCTACAAGGCGTTTGAATTACTAAGGATTAATAAGGTTAAATGAAAATAAAATATTTAACATAACTAATTTGGATATCTAAAGTTTAATTTAAAATTAAGGAAATGTTAAAATGGTCTTAATTGATCCATTGATGTTCTTCACCCATTGATGTTACTAATGTGATGATGGATGGATCAATTTAGTCAAAGGTTGTAAGTACATCATCATTATTCTTATTTGCATTTCCATTAAGAAAATAATGGTTTTTTAAAAATCGATATAATGTAATGATAGTCATCTTTTCAATAACAACTAATTATAAATGGCTATATTTAATGGTTTCTTTTCTTTGCCTTCTATTGTTAGTATATATATTCTCATGTATTCAAGATGTTTGCTAATCATTCTACATTGTGATATTGTATTTTATATTCAAAGGGAGGTATTTTTTAGAGTATTTAAATTTAGAAATAAATAATATGTCACATATGTATCTTCCACTTGAGGGGATTTTTGGTTCTTTAGAACAAATGAAAGATAGTATAAATGAATTTGTTTCTACTTAAGATTATATTGTTTGTAAACATTGGTGTGACAAAGATTGTATAGATTTTAAATATGATAGAAGATATGTTTATTATAAGTGGACTAATCCAATTTGCCAACATAATACTGCAATTTGATTAATTGAATGTCTATTTGTATTGCATGCATAATTTATCCAAAGTAATACATAATAACAACTAATAATTTGAAATAGTCATCATAACCATGGCCTATCACATTCTCTTATAAGAAATTTGTTAGTAAGACAATTGCAACCAACACAAAAAGAAATGCTAGTTGAAATGTTTTTAGGATGAGTTCTACCAAAGAAAATTATCATTGTATTATATAAAAGAAATCCTAGTACTCATATTATTGCTTGTACTATTTATTAAGACTATTATAAATTGCGTCAAATAGCTCTTAATAGTTTCACTTATAGAAGTCTAATGCAATAGTTTATATAAATTTTCTTATTTATGTAATTACAAATTTGTTTCTTAATTTTTTGAAAATACAACAAAAGAGGTTAATGCCTAAGAAAGTTTAGAAAGAACTTGCATATGTTATCAACATACTATTTCATTTTACAAAAATATTCTGAAAAAAGTCTTCATGTTTGCTTTCAACCTTGTGTTTGAGCAATTCAAAGATACAAAAAGAACATTAAATGTCAACTTTTGTACAAGTACATTAACAAAGACATTAGGAATTATATATAAACATATAATTCAAAGTATTGTTTGAAATGGAGGTGTTTTAACAATAGGCGACTTTCATTCTCAATACCACTTAGTAAATATAACTAATTTACTTCTTCTATTACCAAAAAGACATACATTTGTATTGTTTAATGACCTTCAAATGGTCTTTGATATAATTAGTTGCTCATTTGAGTTACTACCAATTCATCAACAAGAAAGACTTTGTATTTATTTCTTAGAGCTTGCTTTAATGAATATAAGGTTAGAAAATCCATTGTCAATCAACAAAAAGAACAAATACAAGGAACACTTAATAATGCAAGACAAAATAAATGTTCTACTCAACAAATATTTTTAGAATTTGAAGTTGTTGAAGGGACAAAAAGTGGGAGGCATTGCAAAAATTGCAATGGTTGTGGACATAATGTTTAAACTTGTCTTATACAACCTATGATAAGTTGACAAACATCTATAAGAGATTCTCAATAATAATATGTAGCTTTTATCGATTATGTACAAATACTTATTTAATAAAAAGAATATTCATATGCGATTAGTGAAGAATTATTTTGTTCTATGAAGTAAAGAAGATTTTGGTCATAATTGTGCAAGAAGTCTACATTTAGTTCTTATACAACTTCTCAAATGTTTGTATTTAATTGTCAAGGACAAGAACTCGATGAAAAAACAATTCAGACAAGTGAGCCTTCACTCAAAGAGAGGTAACAAAATATATATAAACAAGTATATATATTGAAAGAGAAACTGGAATGACTATTGCCAAAAGAGAAGAAAACTAGAGACCCTTGAAACTAGACTAGAAGCAAGAAAGGAGTTGACAAGAGTGAAGAAGCCTTCACTCTTGTCTCTATATATACTATCTAACTAGGGGCTACGTGGCGACGTTCTATAGGACCTCCAATATGTGTTGACATTGTAGGACACATGCCTTGACTTACAAGACAAGTTTTTCTACGTGTGGGCCACATAGTTAGCTTGATCTTCAAGCTAACAACATGTGTGGCACATGGCCAACTTGTTGACCACGTTTTTAATCCAAAAAGTCAATTAAAGATACCTATGAAGTCAAAGCAGCGTCAAGGAAGCGTCTAGGAAGCTTTCATATTAAATATTATAGAATTAACTTACTTTTACCTACTTTTACTTATTTCTACCTATTTGTATATGTAATTATTAGCTTACATGATTATGGCCGTGACATTACCCCCTCTTCTAGAGACGAGTTCCACGAGGAGCGGTCATCATATGTTGAGGAAATCTATAATGCGACGAATTGTATTCGCCACATACTCTGATCTCTGTTCTCTTCGAAGATGATTGATAGGGCCTCTCAACCATCGGTAGTGTCCCATACCAAGGCGGGAAGACCACCCTGTTATTTGATCATTGTTGAGGCCTTCGTAACTTCCTTCGAATAGAATATTTGGAATACCATGAGGAGTTGTTCCTACCTCTAGCAAAATCACCAAACATCGGGAGTCCCTTCCTAAATCGTGATACCAAACGCATTGTATCTCACCATCTATTCGAAGAAGAACATGTCGTTCTTGAAGATCTTCATCTCGATTGTGTCGTCTTGAAGGTTGTGACAATCATAATGTCTCGCCCGGTAGGTCAGCAAATGAAGGCTCTTGAGTTGAATCCACTGGTTGTTGGTTCTCCATCTCTTGAGCGCCACTACTACAACGAAGCTACGAACAAGAATTGAAAGTAGAATGTTATCTTGCCTAGATGTTGTTTCTTTTATAAAGAAGGTTTTCATCTTGATTTTGATGGATGTCGTCGATGAAAAGCCTCCACCGCCTTTGTTGCATTTGTAAGATTCTTTATTGGCTCCCATGTGCGTTCAGTAATACCATATCCGTGTCAATGGACAAGATATTCTAATTTATTTCGGCGTCGCCTTGAATCTAAGACTTCTTCTACTTCAAACTCTTCATTATTGTCCACTTCTATAGGAGGAGGTGGAGCTTGTCGTCTTCTTGGTATGTCCACTGTCTTGTATGGTTCAAGAAGAGACATGTGGAATACTGGATGGATTTTCATTGACTCCGATAGATGTAAACGATATGCAACTGGATTGATTTGTGCAGAAATAGAAAATGGTCCTAGCCTTCGATAGTCCAATTTGTCACAAAGACGAGTGGTCTTGATATTGCGATGAAGTAGCCATACCTTATCACTTAATATGAATGATGGTTGTTCCTTTCGATGGACATCCACATTGGCCTTTTATTGTTCTTGAGCCTCTTTTAACTGCGCCTTCATTGTTGCATGTAGCTCTGATAAATGAATTGCCAAATCTTTCGTAGCAGGATTATCAACTTTTGAAAAGTCAAAAGTATCAAGTCATAGATGATAACCATAATTAGCAAAAAAAGGTGTTTGTTTTGTAGAAGAGTGTACCGTATTATTGTAAGCAAACTCTGCCAATGGCAAAAGAGTTGTCCAATCATCTTGTTGGTAATTAATGGTACATCTTAAATATTGCTCCAAAACTTGATTAACACGCTCCGTTTGTCCATCAGTTTGAGGATGGAATACCGAAGATAGTTTTACATCCACTTTAAGAATCTTGAAAAGAGTTCGCCAAAATCTTGATACAAATTGAGTTCCCCTATCTGATATAATCTCCTTGGGTAATCCATGATAGCGATAGATATTGTCAAGAAAGAGCTTAGCTGTTTCTTCACCTCTGATAGATTTTGTACATGGTACAAAATGTGCCATCTTAGTAAAACGATCTACTATCACGAATATAAATTCATAAGAACCTGAGATTGGAAGATCCGTGATGAAGTCCATAGAAACAGAAGACCATGGTTGTTCTGGAATGGGTAATGGCTGAAGAAGTCCAAAAGGTCGATGACGAGGAGTTTTCGATCTTGAGCAAACTTCACATGATTCTATAAAATCTTTAACTGCCTTCCACATTTGACGCCACCAAAAATCCCTAAATATCAGCTCCAAAGTCTTATTATATCCGAAATATCCTGCTATTGGGAAGTCGTGACGAGCTTGAAGAACACGTAAACGAGCTTCTCCTTCTGGAACATATAGACATCTTTTGAAATAGAGTAGGTTGTTCTTGAATTCAAATTTAGATGGATCATGAGATTTAGAAGAATTGTTCTTGATATCATGAACAAGAAGGTCTGAAGACATACTTAACTGGACTTGCTTAAGAAAAGTCAAATCAACAGTCAATGTTGATTTTATTGCTCAAAGATGAAATTGTTCCGGCTTCAAGAGAACCGTTCTTTGTTGCTCAAAAGCTGCATCTCCTTCTTTTGGTGCAAGATAAGAACGTCTAGACAAAGCATCGGATAAACCTTGTTGTTTTCCTGACCGATAAGTGATGATGAACTCGAATCTTGATAAAGACATCCTCCAACGAGCTTGGCAACGATTTAATACGAGTGCTGACATAAAATATTCGAGGTTCTTATGATCCGTATACATGGTGATTGGACTGGAAGCGCCTTCTAGATAATGACGCCATTCTTGAAAAGAATCCACAATTGCAAGAAGTTCTTTGTCGTGGATCTCATA